ATAGCGGTTACTGGCAAGATGCCTACGGGAAACTCGTCCGAAATTGCTTTTTGAGTCATGAGAACGAAGGCTTTTCTTACCAGGTTTTTGATCGTTTCACGTTCTTTCGCCATTTTTGCACTATTTAGCAACCCACTAGCATTTTGACCAAGTACCAAATTATCGCACCAACTGCCTTTGATTTAAACAGCAGTTATCATAACAGGACAACTTTAGCAAAGTTGTATATCACGTTTACGTGCAGAACATCTCTTTTGTTCAACGTGGGAATGACATACTCTCAAGGCATAATCAGAAATGTTTATTTATTTATTTTTAAAATGTTTACTGTTCGTCTTGATTACAATAGATTTCTTGAAATGTCTCATCGACTACCAGTGTGGAACGTCTTTGAAATAAACTTGGTCACGAGTTTTCTCAACGAACTTTCGCTTGCCTAAACAAATTCATCAAGAGCTCTTTCCTCCACATCCATGAGTAAACCTACTGTAGATTACCTTGCTCAGTGGCGTTCCCTGCTTGACATCACTTGGAATCGGCTTTTCCTTAGGATTTTTCTGAAATGGAAAATTTCCCTCACTTGAACTGCAAAAAATGCGTAAAAATACGTATAGATACTCCGATAATAAAAATGTAATATAAAATATATAAATAACCGATAATAATAAATACAATACTCCGGTAAATACGTACGCCTATTTTCAATTTTCGCCTTTTCTTCCGGCTTCCTTTGTGTCTAGTTGCTGCTAAAAAGTTTGTGATCTATGAATTACAAGGTAAAAAAAAAAATTTTTCCCCGCTGACCGATCTGATTTTACATCGGACTCGTTCTCTTCAGCAGTGACCGCTTGTAAGGTTTCTTGTGTTGCAACACTCGCCACAGCAGCGCCGTAAACAGAAGGGTTTCTCTGAACAGACAAATATTGGACCCAGGAGCGAAACCCTCAATAGAGGTTGCGTTCACCTACTGTAGCTTTTTGCGCTATATTAATCAGATCCTATAGCAAGAGCGGCGCCACCACATGGAGCACAGCTTCTGTCACTCGAGCAACTCAGATACCGTCTCCCGCACGCCCTCAGGCTACGTCCATGCTTTGCGGCAGCGTCCACAAGAGACCATCAGCGTTGAGCGTCCTGTCCTGCAACGACTAGAAAAAAGTGTGATTGATTTTAGCGGAAGGCAGCATCCTACCAGCGTTCTTACGAGCATCCAGCAGGCGACCAGGAGTATTTTCTAGCCCTCACGTACTTCCATACTCCCTACACCTGGTCGCTGGTAGACGCTGATAGATGCTAGATCGCTATCCATACTTTCATAGTTCATCGAGATGCTGATGGTTGCTGGCGACGCTGGTGGACGTTGGTAGACCTAGTCGCTGACGCTGATGGTCGCTGGTGGACGCTGCAGCAAAGTATTGACGAGCTTCACCATCTTATGCAAAAAAGCCCTTCGAAGGTCGTAGGTGAGCCAGCCGTTATCAGAACAGATTCAAATCATTGGACAAGCTCTGCTGGGAGCTAGCAGTAAAGCGAAGAGTAAAAGCTCGAAATTATTGGACAATGTTTGAAGCAATATCATCACATGCTTAAAGGCGTAACAATAGGAACTAGAGGCAGTCAATTGATCATCAGTCCTATGGAAAAAGAAACTGATGGTGTGTCTAACAATTTTTTCGTGAGCGTTGTCGCGCGTGTCTTTGCGATCTTGCCAATATATGCGCCTTACACCTCCAAATACGAGTCTGAAAAGCAGATTTTGGGACTAGGCGCAGAGAAAAACCTTCTTTCTTATGTATTACATAATGAACGACCGCTTCTACATAGCGTGTCTCCTTGGTAGCAGAAGTACCCTAGAAGTCAACGAAGTCAAGAGCAAGGAACTACTTTAGGATCAGTGGTATCATTAATTGCATCGTAGCCTTGAGGACAAAGGTGGCCAAAGAATAGCGCTCTCTTCAGGTCATCGTTCAGACTTTGCGATGATGCGCACTATCACGTGACACGCGCTGTAACGCAGCGTGGCGCACTACATTTGCAACAGCGCTCCGAGGCTACAGGCGCGATCGCAGCCGCAGACTGGAATTGATCGGCGCCGCCCGCTTATCGGATAGGCGAGGGTATGGAGGGAAGTGCCCAATACCCTAGTACGGCGTTGATCGGCACTAGCCAACAGGCGATGCGGTAGCGCTAATCGATTTACGTCTGCAGCTGCGTTTCGCATCTATAGGATTGAAGCACTGCTGCGATCGGAGCGCGTCGACGCGCGTCGTCGTCAAGCTGAACGCTGCCTGAAAGGAGCAAGCGCATTTCTGAGCAAGGCAGAACCGTTTCGAATTTTCGTCCATTTCTTCACCGTCAGACTACCGTGATCGTAATTTCGAATCACTGTCTCCTCTAGGACAGGAAACGAGTGGCAAAGTCTGCAGGAGGATTAATTTTCAAAGTTGTATGTGACGCACTAGATTTCGATCCTTGACTTGCAAATGTTTGAACGCTTCACGACAACCGATTTCAACGGCATCGTCTGCCATAACCACATCAGTCGCTGGCTCTTTTGATTTCATCGCTACACAGCTGGGATTAGTTAAATGGTGTAGTGAACTGGGTCGTTCCACAAGAAATGTGCAGAAACCGTCACGTTCCTGTACAGCACGGATTCGATGTTTTAACGCCACCATGTTGACTCTGCTGGGAATCTGTAATTATATCCCATAAAACAAGATGTTCATGCATTTGAAAAACGCAAAATACCTTGATTGAGTCAACGTCGATGATACGGTCTACAGAGAGAAATGCGAATGCTCCCATTGTTTGCGGTTCTACCTTAAAATGTGAACAATTCTGGACGCAAAATTAGCAAAGCGTCATACCAAGCTGACGATGGGCAACAGAAAGTGGGAAACAAATCAAAGACATCCGACAACCGCGTGGGTTAGGATCCTCAAGCATGGTGCGTTCCCACAAGTGCACTTCTTCCTACAATGCACTGAAGAGAAAGTGCGCGCCGTGTCGCTCTAAGGCCGCGTCCATACTTTGCAGCAACGTACGCCAGAGTACGCTAGCGTTTTCCAGCGTTCGCCAGTGGCAGTGACAAGAAAAGGATAGATATCGTCGTTCAGCGTGTGCTAGCGTAACCAGCGTGCGGTTACGCCCGCTAGCGTAGCGAGGGCAAGAAAAGTATAGGCATCGACCTAGCGTTTCGTGTTACGCTGGCGTTTCCAGCGTTTCACCAGCATTTGCCGCAGCAGAGAGTACAGAATGTGGGAGGAGTAGGAGAGTAGCGAACAGTTTCCTGCCTGAAGGATCCGTACATTAAATCGGTTAAATTACATAATGCAATGATCGAATTGCACAACGCATAAATGCAAAGCATGAACCGATCATTATCATCATCATTGCTAAGCGTGGGACCATCTAGGACCTTTCATAAGAATGAGCACAGGGCACATCATTGGTTGGGGATTTTAGTCGACTCTATACGACCCCCCAGCCCTCTGTCCTTCCTCATCGAATCGAGCCGTCGAGCGGGGGGGGGGACGGGGGCATATAGTACACATGAAACAGGAAAATCACGAAAAGTCAACCACCACTCGTAGAAGGTCAAAAAGTGAATACGACCCCCTCCCAAAAATGATCAAGTACGACCCCCCTCCTCATGAAGCGAGAAAAATCAACTATCAAAATAAATTTTTCTCAGCCCAAATACGACCCCCCTCCTGGCGACCAAATACGACCCCCCTATTGGGGATTCCCCAACAACGATGTGCCCTGAATGAACATGTATTTGTCAGACGTATACTCGACGACCAGAGACCGTTCATACGAATTACTAAAAGTTCCCAAAAAATGGAGCAATCTCCAACAGATCAGCCCTAAAAAGGATATGGTACCTGCAAAAGCCAGCGTTTTCATAGTTCAATTCAATTCCGGTGCGATAATGTACGCTCCCATAGTCTCTACTCCCGCCGCTGCAAACGCTGGTGAAACGCTAGATCGACAACTATACGCTAGCGTTACTTTGCGCACGCTGCTGACCCTGGCATACGCTAGATCGATATCTATCCTTTCCTTGTCACTGCCGCTGGCCGAACGCTGGAAACGCTAGCGTACGCTGGCGTACGCTGCCGCAAAGTATGAACGCAGCCTAAGGTGAATGCTCCATCGATCAGTAGATCAACTGGCCGCAGACGAAGTATCCTGCGCAAAAACAAAAGGCGCGGGACCACCGCGCACTTGCCTTTCGCAACACAGTCGAGCCCATTCTTCCTTCTCCTCTACCGCTGAGCAGCTGTCTGCAGGTACTATCCTCCCCCAAGACAGCGTCTGCGACGATTACGCGACCCGCGGTTCGCTAGATCAACAGGTACTGGTTGGAGAAGGCTCTTCACCAGTTTCACTGTTTCATATTAAAGGTCAACAGTCTGAAGATCCATTTAATCATTGTTATATTCCTACGAAAACTGCTTCGAAGATTCAGTTCATCAATCTTAACTCATTGTCAGTTACCTACTTTCTACGAGAGAAGCTTCGTGATTACGTGTTTGCTAACTCAGTTCAGTTCCACTCCATCTTTCCTTCACGAGATATCCAACGTTAGGCTTTTTTCAAAAGGGCGATGCTCGGAGTTTCCCGCTACACGCAAGTGAGAGAGGGAATCCGGAGCTCCGCACTCCGCCGACGATCGAAGATCAGAGACGCCGCCGCTTTGCCATTTCGAAGATCAGGTGGGCCGGGCACGTCATGCGTTTCGAGACGACCAGAGCGATCACCGACTGGATTCCACGGGATGTCAAGCGAACGCCTGGACGACCGCCTACGCGATGGTCAGACTTCTTCGTGAAAGCTCTGAACGAATGGTATGTTCATCGTGTCCCTCGAGCAGAGAGAACCCATTGGGCAACTCTTGCACGTTGCAGGGACGAATGGAGACGTTACTGGCGCCCGCTCGAGGAACTCGATGATCAACAGGGAGCACAGGTGATACAGGTGATGGACAGGTGACATCGCCGCATTTATACGTCGATTCAGTTTTGGGGAGCTCTGTCTCCATTGGAAGCTTGGCTTTCTTCCAATTGTACCAGATGAAATTTTACTTCCTCGAACGCGTAGCGACCGAAAACCCCTCATTGAACAATCCTTTGATCGGCCATCGCCACACCGCCAATGAGGGATGCAATATGGCTGTCCAGCGACCCAGCGGAATGTGTCTTCAGCTGTGAAACTCGACCTGTGAGAAATAGAGCCGTCCATGACTAACACCTTGAAATTCGAAGCCTGCTCGCATATTTTTTAGCAGTGGCAGTTCTGAATTTGCATACGTGCATTGAAAGTTAACTCTTCAAGAGTGATCTTGCGGAAAATAGAACTAACCAACTATTAAATAGCAGTGTTTCTTCACAGTCCACACATGTGCCATCCGTTTTGGCGTGGGAGGTCGAACATTCCATGGTCTTACAACTCCGAATGTTACCTGCCACTAGCCCAGTTGTTCGATGTCGGTTTCAAAGCATTAGTGCTATACTCCTAACATTTCAAGCTCAAGTGGCGCAGAATGGTACGTGACCACTCAGGGCACGCGGCGCCGGAAAACTACTCTTTCTAATGGTTGATCGGGGTATTCGGCCAATTCTCCCTTCCCCCCAACATCCCCTCATCCCGCTTGACGGCCGTTTTTAAGGAAGTAGTCGGCTATGGAGGGGGCTTAGCGAAGGAATATTTTCCCTCTCCTTCCTTTCTTCTCTTTCTTTCTCTCTCTTCTCTCTCTTCTCTGCGGGGGGAGGGGGGGGGAGGGGAGGGATTGTATTGAGCAGTTCCCCGAACGTCAGGAAGTGTTTTGGTTTTATTGCTTCCGGTGATCAGTGGTCACACGAATTCCGCCCACCAACTGTCAGCGCCCACACCGGAACTGCGTTCAAGGGCGCCATATCTGTCGTATGGGCGGAGTCGGTCTGGCATTGTGCCTTCCTCATTGGCGCATCCATTCCCCGTGTAAAAAAAGAAACGTGGACCAATGAGGAAGACACAACAGCAGACTCATCTAAGCCCGCACGACCAGTGTAAGCTCTGTTTTCGTCTTTCAAGAAAAGTTGAAGCAAGTTCAAAGAGGTCAAAAGAATGCGCAATGCGATGGCAGTATGTTTTCCTCCATGTAGTAGCTGGCGTGAAGGATCACCACCCACATTGCACCCTAATAAACCAAGCCTTCATTTTCTTCTGGTAAATTTCGCAGGAATCCTGTGCGCTCAACATCTTAATACTCGTAAAATTAATAATAGATCGTAAGCTTCCCGACAACTTCATGGACACAATCATGTTCTACATGTTTACCTCGCCAGTTGCCTCCTCAACAAGCTCGCTGAACTCAGCTAAATTCTTTGGAACCAGACCATCTATTTCTACTATCTGAAATTATTTCTTACGTTCCATGGCTAGGTATTGTCAAAAGAAAATGGCAATTCATATTTCATGGAATCCACTGACAGAAAAATTGTTTCATCAAAACTTAGACAACGTTCAGACTTCGTGATGACGCGCTGTAAGGCGCTACAAGGCGCTATAATTGTAAACAGCGCTCTGTGGATCGCAACGCACGCCAAGGTGAGTCAGTCGCGGCCGCTGGTGCCGGTCTAGCGGCCAGCGCCCATCGATGCCAGACTGCGCGATTAGGTAACGCTTACCCATCTGCTCTCCTGCTCTCAATGACTCCCGTCTGGGGCTGCGTTCGCTGCCGTCGCCTTGGAGCGCTGTCGTAATAGTACCGCGTCAACACGGGTTACAGCGCGTTACAGCGCGACGTCGTGAAGTCTGAACGCTGCCCTTAAAGGCTCAACCCGCATTCAAATATGATAAG